TTCCATTTCCCTGATAGCTAAGGATGTTGACCACTTCCTTAAGTGTATCCTGCCTACTTGAGATTCTTCTGATGAGAACTCTGTTTAAATCCCTACCCCATTTTTAATGGGATTATTTGGGATTTTGGTGTCTAGTTTGAGTTCATTATATATCTTGGATATCAGTCCTTTGTCAGATATGGGGTTGGTGAAGATCTTTTCCCATTCTGTAGACCACAGTTTTGTCTTATTGACAGTGTCCTTTGCCTTACAGAAGCTGTTCAGTATCAGGAGGTCCCATTTATTAATTGAGAATAATAGTGTCTGTGCTATTGGTGTTTTGTACAGGAAGTCTCGTTGACAATGGGTTTAAAGCTACTTCCCACTTTCTATCAGCTTTCGTATAACTGGGTTGATGTTGAGGTCTTTGATCCACTTGGACTTGAATTTTGTGCAAGGTGAAAGATATGGATCTATTTTAATTCTTCTGTATGCCACCATCCAGTCATGAAAGTACCAATTGTTGAAAATGCTTTCTTTTTTCCATTGTATATTTTTAGCTTCTTTCTCAAAAATCAGGTGGTCACAGATGTGTGGTTTTATATCAGGGTCTTCAATTTGATCCCAATGATGTACATGTCTGTTTTTATGCCAATACCAAACTATTTTTATTAGTATAGCTGTATAGCAGAGCTTGAAGTTAGGGATGGTGATAACTCCAGAGGTTCCTTTATTGTACAGGATTATTTTAGCTATCCTTTTTTTGTTTGTTTGTTTGTTTTTCCATATGAAGGTGAGTATTGTTCTTCCTAGGTCTGTGAAGAATTGTGTTGGAATTTTGATAGACTGCATTGAATCTGTAGGTTGATTTTGGTAAGATTGCCATTTTTACTATGTTAATTTCACTGATGGATGAGCATGAGAGATCTTTCCATTTTCTGATCTCTTCTCAAATTTATTTCTTCAAAGACTTAAAATTCTTGTCATATAGTTCTTTCATATGTTTGGTTAGAGTTATCCCAAGATATTTTATATTATGTGTCGCTATTATAAAGGGTGTTGTTTCTCTGATTCCTTTCTCAGCTAATTTATTATTTGTATATAGGAGAACTATTTTTTTTGAGTTAATCTTGTATCCAGGCACCTTACTGAAGGAGGTGGATTTTTGTTTATGTGTTCTTGGATTCAGTTCCTCAGTATTTTATTGGGTATTTTTACACCAATGTTTGTGAGGAAGATTGGTCTGTAATTCTCCTTTTTGTTGCTTCTTTGTCTGATTTGAGTACTAGGGTAACTGTGGCCTCATAAAAATAATTTGTCAATATTCCTTCTGTTTTTATTATGTTGAACAATTGGAGATGTATTGGTAGTTTCTCCTCTTTGAAATTCAGATAGAATTTTGCATTGAATCCATGTGACCCTACATTTTTTTGGTTGGGAGACTTTTAATGAATTTTTCTATTTCCTTAGGGTTATAGTTCTGTTTAAATTACTTGGTCTTGATTGAATTTTGATATGCGATACATATCAATAAAGCTGTCCATTTCTTTTATATTTTCCAGTTTTGTGACATTCAGGTTTTTTAAGTAGTACCTAATCCATAGAGTCTGTTGTTATGTCCCTCTTTTCATTTCTGATTTTTTTTTATTTCAATATTCTCTCTCTGCTTTTTGGTTAGTTTGGATAAGGACTTGTCTAACTTGTTGATTTTCTCAAAGAACCAACTCTTTGTTTCATTGATTCTTGGTTTTGTTCTTTTTGTTTCTATTTTATTGATTTGAGTCATCAATTTATTTCTTGGCATCTATTCCTTCTGGGTGAGTTTGCTTAGTTGTGTTCTAGAGCTTTTAGGT